GTCCGGTGAACATGCGGGCTATGGCAAAACCTGTACGTTGGCGTTGGCAAGGAAGTTCTGTGTCAATCTTGCTGTGTGTGGCCTTGCATTGTCATGTTGGAAAAGGAGTCCACGAGGCTGTTGCTGAATAAAGGGCACCACAACAGGCCGTAGGATGTCATCAAGATAACGCTGTGCATTCAGGTTTCCACGAATTACGACAAGCATCGTTTTGACGTCACCACATATGCCACCCCAAACCATTAACCCTCCACCTCCAAACGGCCGGACCTGTTGGATACAGTTAGGCGCCAAACGTTCACCAAATCGTCGGTATACAAGCTGCCGTCCATCGTTTCTGAAGATGAGGAATCTGCTCTCATCAGAGAACATAACACGTGCCCAGTCCCGCCGTTGCCAACGTCGAACTCGCCTGGCCCAGATCTGTCTGTTGTTCCGGTGTCGAGGCGTCAGGAGCGGTCCGCGGTAGGGATGACGTGGCCGGATACCATACTGCCGTAGTCTCCTGTAGACGGTCTGTCGACTGATCCTGTGTCCCAGTACTGTAGCCGCCGTGGACGTCGCTGTTACGGTGCGGTTCCTCAGGTGTAATACCCGGATGTAACGATCTTCACGGGGCGTGGTTACTCGTGGTCTTCCACTCCTGGGCCTGGCTGACGTCTGACCTGTCTGACGTAACCGCTGCATCAACCTGGTGATAGTGATGCGTGCGCAGCCCAACCTTCTGGCGACGTCGACGTGTGACGCTCCTTGTTGGATCATTCCTCTCTCGATGGCTGTCAAACGTGGCATATCTTGTGTTCTTTTTGTTGCTGTGATATCAACGTGTCTGATCAGCCGTTTTATACAGTTTTTCTGCACGTGCAGAACATGCTAAAGAGGGAAATGTCACTTTCACGAAATTTACGTTTTTTCCCGGAAGTGATCACGTGTTCCCGGTATTTTTTATCGACTATGCTGTGTTTGGGTTTTGCAATACGAATTGGCATGTTTTCATTCTTGACAATTCACTTAGTAAAAAACAATTTTGAAAATAAGTTGGTATCGTTTCTTTTGGACACTAGTTTAGTAACACTTATATCTTTATATCATTTATGTATAAATTCTGTGATAATTGTCTCTCATAATTCTATTGAATGGTTCTGTACATTTTATCTATGTCAAAGCTGTTTTATGTATGTACAGAAGTGAGACGTTAATAAACTATTGTCTGTCTGTCTGAGAATGAACCGACATCACACCCCTCCACGCTAAGGTCGGTGAGAAACCTTCTCATCAAAGAAAACACACAGTCAAGACTGTAGATTCCCGTCGTCTAGCTACAAATACTGTGATTTATTAAAGGTTGAAGAAGTTTGAACTGAACTGTCCGAAAGTTTATATCTAAAATTTTGGAATTGGATACAGTGATAAAGTCTCATATCAATATGTAGACTCATAAATAATGGTTTCATGTTTTAACCGAGATATGATATTTTCTTATGAAATATCGCGTATTAGTGTAATTTGCATTTCAACCGCCTCCCTAAACGTGCTCCAAACCGCGCACATGGAAACTCAGCCTAAAGGGCGGCGGCTTTTACATAAGCCAGTAAAGCTTGTGTGTCAATCCCCATTCATATATTTATGTATAAAAATCTGTTGAAACAAAATATATTGTAAAGCCTGGTTTGTTTGCATTAAAATCAAAACAAAGGAATCTGTAATTAAAATGTGTAAGTTGTAAAAGCTTTTACATAAAAGAGCAAAATACATGGGGGAGAGTAAATACATAATTCTATATAACCTTTCTTGAATGGAGCACATTTAAAAAAAGAAGATAATCCAAACATATTCGATATTACCATGCATATCGGGGAACATTGTAATGTTGGTACAATTTATCTATCGTGTCTTCGTGCTTTAGCATTACACATTGGCTTTTCATATTCCTCTTTTAATGTTTATTTGTTTATGTATTTTTTAAATATTTTTTTCTCTCCTATATTTTTTCTGGGTTATATATTTATCTAAATATACATTTAGTTACTTGTGTGTGTGTGTTTTTATTTTTATTTGTTGATATTTATGTTTATTGATTTAACGGGTTTTTTTTCTTTTCGGGTGTGGGAGGGGGGTTGTGTTGGGGGGGGGGGGGGGGGGCACTTTTCCTTTCGTTTTTCATAATAATATTTTTAAGTTGTATATAACGTATGAATCCCTTCTCAGATTACTTTATCTCATTTCTATATGACGTGCTATTTTACTTCTCTGTGTTGTTTTGTTGTATGAGGTTATACTGTATCATTTTTACTATTTTGATATTTTGCAATATGTTGTGGTCATCAGTTATACAAATCAGTTTCGGTGTGTCTTTTTAACAAGGTGTTCTTCCTTAAGTTTCACCGCCAGCCCGATTGTAACAATTACATGTACACTTTGCTTTGACGATGCCGGTTGATGTTGTTCAATACAGGCTGGCGGTGGGTGTTTTAGAATCTATTCTACATGCTAATCATTTCGGGAAGATGATACACATTTCTCTATATTTTGGGTTACTTTGCTTATATAATTTCCGATTATCATTCTTAGTTTTACTTTTTCTCATCTGCTGCGGTGATATCCATCCGCATCCAGGACCTTTGCATAGTCCAGATTTAAAGGGGCACTGATCTAACGCAATTCCCCGGACTGGTTGTTAACTTTGTTATTGTTTTTTCCCCGTGAGTACCCGGATGATACGCAACGCAACTGAGCGTGACCAGAGACTGGGCTACCGTCTGCAAGGACAACTCAATAAACTTAGAGGCTGGAGGCAATATTTGTTTTACGCATTTTGGAACAATGATTGGTTAACTGTGATCTATAAAGATTTCGACAAAGGGCGCATGTGAATTTATTTCTTCAGCCTAAACAAACAGACAAAAAGAACGGCGGAGCTCATCGGATGTCGTCATTTGGAAATACTCCAGATAGTTATAGTTTAATAATAAAAAAAGTATCCATGCAGTGAATTGCGGATTGCGTCGATAATATGATTACTACTCCCTCGTTGTCATCCACGTCTTCTGGTATAACCCTACACTTGTGTATTTGTCGTCATTCACTTGATGCTCAGTTAATGAATTTATTACAGGTACAATTATTGGTAGCACCACTTAGATTACCTGACAAAGGGTCCCATTTGGCATTTATTGTGCCTGGGGTAATTATTCAATCTAAATCCAGGTTTGAGGTGAGGTGAAATGTTTGTTATGTAATATGCACGTGGCAGCCCAGCAAGAGGTGAATGATCAGTTGATTTACTTTTTTTGTAAATCAACGGATCGTTCCTAGTCATCAAAGGATTAACAGAAAATACGTTGATTGATGAGTCACTGTTATCTTGCACAGGGGATATGTCAAAAGTGAGTGTTTACATGTCTAAGTTTACTAAAACAAAGGGAATACACTCATATCATGGCGTAAAGTGCCATGTAAAAACAACATACTTTGTTCAAAGGGTTAACTGATAATACGTTGATTGATTGCTCATTGTTATCTATCACTCAATGTATTTTTTAGGAACCGTGAACGTTATGACAATAGTTGTCACGTGGCCTTCCTCAGCCGACCCTTGAGACTTGACACCTATGTGATCAGTTGAGAAACGAACACGGGTTATAACATCCCGAAACGATATATATCTCTTAAAATATTTGATTGTAGATTCACTAAAATTGATTAAGACGATCAAAAGGGCCTAAAAACATCACAACAGATTATTATGTAGGATTAGAAGCCATACAACATAGAAATGTACTTTTCAACATAACATTTTCAGTCTCTTGGTGATGACATTAAACATCAACATGTTTGGAATTCGTTATTATAATAATACAGAAGGAAATGTTTTTCAGTCACTTTGTAAAATAACTGAATATTTAGGCGTTAATAAATTTGAAAATGTTACACATTTTGACAGTAAAAAAATATACACACTATAAAAAAGCAATGCTCAGGTGAAATATTTACTTTGTGTTGCAAGTCAAAACAGTGTAAACGAAAATCGCAAAATTACCAAGCAAGTCACCATTACCGATGCTACCCACAAAGATACCTACATTTCCTTATTATCTCGAAAACTGTATTTCATTTTGTTGATGGATGTGACCATACGCCCTTATTACTACCCATAAAAGTGACTAATGCGCTTACGAATGGCGCAGCAGAGGTCGCGAACTAGTCTAGATTTCCGCTACACATCCGGGTACTCACTTGGAAAAAACAATAACAAAGGCAACGACCAGTCCCGGGGAATTGCTTTAGATCAGTGCCCCTTTAAAGATTATACATCTAAACGTACGCAGTCAAAGACAAAGACTAGTAGATTTAATCAGTGCTGAATTAGATAGTTATGATGTTGTATGTTTAACAGAAACCTGGTTGCCACTGATATTGCACTGATACCATTTTCAAATCGTAGCCTGTATTAAGGAATATATTTTAGATCTTAAATCAGAGTATAACGGGCAGCCTGAGCTGGAGGCGGGCGTGGATATGTGGACAGTTTTTACGTAGTTAGTGTTAAAACCGAATGTTTGCGAGGATTAATAAGATTTCTGAATTCAGTTACAACAGTAACCGTACATGTATTTGTTACATTAAGTCATTTCATTCAAATTTGTTTGGTATGATTATGTCTTAAAATTATTTTAGGATGGAGGGTACAGTTACCAAATAAAATATGCTGAAATATCAATTAATTATGACCATATTTCATAATCTATTTTTTAAAGTAACCCTCCGTACATTAAAGATATCTATTTAAAGAATATAGTTCTTAAAGACCTTGCCAAAAAACGAATAATCAGGGGGGAGACTATATACTGAGGGGGGCGCGAAATATATCCGCCCGGGGGAGATTTTATTTCAGAACAGATTCTCCGGGGGAGAATCTGTACCGGTATAAAATCTACGGGGGGAGAATTTGTACGGGGCCGGGGAGAGTTTATACCGGGACACCGGCCTTAACGTTATACTTCCTTGTTGAATGCACCAGCTTGAGGTCGGTATAGCGCCTGTGTGACGAACATCTCGGGTCATGCGACAGCGTCACCAGCGTGAACATGTGTGATAAGAGTGTTTACACAAGGATCTCCTAAAGGTAAGCAAAGGTAAGCGTTTGGGTCGTATTCATGATTATAGTAATACAGTCGAACCTTGCCTATTCGGACACCTGCGTTTTCTCAAACATTGTCCTGAGAAACTAGTTTCCTGATATCCATTGTGAACTGACAGGAATTCCCTACCCAACCAAAATTCTACCGAGGAATATGTGAAATGAATGGCAAAATTTATGAAGGATTGATCGAATTATAAATATAATCCCCTGTGCTGTACAGACCCACACAGCATGCTGTCACAACGCCTTTTATTAATTATACAGCTGAAAAATTCATAACATTGTTGAGGTTGTGGTAGGTGAATGTATGGAGATCACCGGTGACGTTTTTGTTGTTGATTGTACAACCATGTTCGCAGCCAGCCATCGCAGTTAGAAATATCATATCAGGTGTGTCATGACCAAAGTTTCTATGTTAGTCATATCTGTGTTCGTGTGACAGCAAAATGTTAAACGTACGAGGCCTGCATCACAACCATACGACGTGCGTGATATAACTGAAAACCCGTTGTTTTGTTTTAAACATATTTTATTGACATATATGGTCAACGGGATTGGGCAAAAGTTATCCAACTTAGGTGGCCCTTTCCCTACTCTATATGTACAGACATTGATTATACATATATATACACATATACATACACACATACATATACATACGTATACAGAAATACAAACATATACACATAATCATATATACACACAATCATACATACTCATACATACATACATACATACATACATACATACATACATACATACATACATACATACATACATACATACATACATACATACATACATACATACATACATACATACATACATACATACATACATACACATACTCAGATACATATACACTTATTACAAAGAGAAGTAACAAAGAGAAATATATTTACACAAGAACATAAACATAATGTTTGCAAGAGTAACATAGACAGTCATGCATAAGAATTGTCTATAGACACAGTTTACTTGTATGTACACATTAATCCAAAATACATGCAAAACTACATATATAATTACACAATCATACATACACTTATGTACATGTACACATATGCTTACACACACACACTACATGTACATACATACACATATACCCTTGAATACGCATGCATACATATATATACATACACATATTTACACACATACACCAGGATATATATACCCGTAAACATTATGTGTACAGAAGGAGGCAGAGATACACATGTATTCATGATCATATACATGCATGCAGTTTATTCACTGATGGCGTAATTAATAATAAATGGTCGCAGAGCGATATTCTGTATTAATGATAAAGGGTTACTCGAATCTATTAGTCGACATTATATATTTTTGAACGCTGTTGAAGATGAGGTTATTGTGACTTTCAGATAGGGATACATCACCGTAGAGAATATTTTGTATTGTACATGTAGTTCCAGCTTTTATAATGTTAGCGAACATGATATTTCTAGGAATAGTGTAATTGGGACATTCAAGAAAAAAGTGTATGTTGTTTTCACATGGGTTTCCACAAGAGCAGGACAAAGTATCAGATAAATTTACTTTAAAGAGGTCTGCATTTAGGGAACTGCAAGAATGCCTTAGGCGTGTATGTAAAATATTAGCTCTACGGTTGCCGATTGAGAAGTATGGAGGTGGAGCTGTAATGGTTGTTTTAATCATGTGTTTAAAATTTGATAATGATGTTGCACTTCTGTATTCAGGGGGTAACTCATTCCATAATTTGATTGAAGAAGGTATAAATGATTGTTGGTATGTGACTGTTCGTGCTTGCGGCGAATTCAGATTATTCTGATTTCGTAACTCATATCTACTAAAAGTTGATACTTTGGGTGGTAACATGTCATGTAAATACGATGGGCATAGGTTATTAACAATACTGTAGATTGTGCAGAGTTTTTTATTTGACCTCCTATAAGATAGTGATTCCCATCCTGTCTCAAAATATAAACTCGATCTTGAGGAGAATTAAGGGAGACCTGTTACCATGCGAGCGGCTTCGAGTTGAATCATTTCAAGTTTTTCGGAATTTTCATGACTGCAGTTGTCCCATACCTCTGAAGCATATTCTAATATAGGCCTTATGAAAACAAGATAGACTTTGGACAGGGTTTGTCTATCAAGTAAATATTTCACGGTTCTTAACGAACAAATCATTTTGGAAGCTGAGCGGCAAATGTTATCAACGTGAGTTGTCCACTTCATATCATGGGAGAGAGTAACGCCCAGATGTTTGTGCGAGATAGATGCGCTTAGTGCGGTATTGTTATAAATGATATCTGCAGTGCGGTTTTTACAATGAGTGAACAGAATAAATGTTGTTTTGTCCGGGTTAAACTTAACTAGCCATCTATTGGCCCAGGTATTGAGAAGCTCTAGATCACTGTTTAATCTGTGTTCTATCATTTGTAAGTGAAGAGATGATGTACCAATGGAAGTATCGTCTGCAAAAAGGCGAGTGGAATTCACTAGATTATCAGCGAGATCGTTAATGTAGACCAGAAACAAAAAGGGACCTAATACCGAGCCCTTGGGGACACCGGCTCTGGTGAATTTCAAAGATGAAAAGCTGCCATTTACAAAAACCTTTTGTCTCCTCTGACTAATATAGTCTTCTAACCATAGTAATAGCTTGCCCGTTACATCGTATTTTTGTAATTTATGAAGTAATCCTTTATGCCAAACTCTGTCAAATGCTTTCGATATATCACAGAATACCATACAATAGTATTCGTGCTTGTCGACAGATGAGAACCCGTTCAAAATGGCGTTTAGCAAAACTCAGTTCCTCTCACTGCGAAATGGTGGATACAGATAAGCGATGTTTTACTTGAGGCGACTATTTAAAAGATGATCTTACATAGAAAATTTACGCACTGGAGCATACATTACCAGTTTTCAGCCCTTACCTTACCGCGTTGTCCAGTGTCCTGACAGAGTCACTTGTCGGAAAATACATCCAGATAAACCAACTAAATTCCATCCTTAAAAAATTATATTGAATGTTTTTGAGCCCTGATGAAGATGCATTGTTGTGTTTGTATGTGACAACGGATGTGTTCTCAGTCAACTTAATATGCATTGTCTTCTTATTGACCAGGAATAATCAGGAAACCGCAATTAATTGAAAACACACTGCAGCTGTAATTATTTATTTCTGAAGACCATTCTATCACGTGTTCATACGGGACATGTTAATTTAAATGTTTTATATAGGTTGCAATACTTTGACAACCGCCTCGCATCATCTGATCAGGCGTTTGATCAAGGCATATGCTCACTGACGCTTGTTTTATGATTTAAGAGTTGATACCACAAGGAAATAACACAATGAAAACAAGGAAGTAAAAAGACTAAAAAGGTCACTTAGATGGTTTAAGGCTTCTATTCCTTACTTAATGTCTGCGGCGTAAAGCAACATGCATAATTTTTATGCATAATATGTGAGTGACGGGTGTCATACCGTTAAGCCCGAGGAAATTTAAAGACCTTTCTACTTCTGTGCGTTGATTGATGGAATAAAATCTGTATATGTTTATACAAATATGGACAGAGGTAGCTACGTGAAAATCAGTAGTATGCCTCAATACTGTCTACAGTTTGATGACCAATGCTTTTTTACACATATTGTTGTACGGATTTTTTATCAGATACCACGAGCCGGGGGCGAGCGGTGTAAAACCCAACGGAGGACGCACTGAACCACATGTACCCGGAGTACAACGCATGTATGTTACCGACATATTTAATCTATCAATGTGAAATGAATTAAACCAAATTCAATATTGGTTGATAAAGCTGTTCGACTGAGCTGCGGTCCACTCGTGCTATATCACGTGACTTTCACTGACTCGGGAAAAGGGTGAGGATTTTGGCTTCGAAGCCAGGTAGAAGTGATTCATAGTATTTGATCAAGATCACGTGAACCATTCAGATCTCATCATTCTAACTTGGAGGTTTGATAAAGCCATTATCATCTCGCCAATGATTAATAAATTGCATGAAGGAAATAATGTCTACCAAATACTGTATGTTTAACATCATTTAAGCGATACACAGGATTGAGTTTTTATATTTGGGGGCAAATTGATCATGCCAGTAAATCGTATTGCACCCGAAGGGGGGTACAGCCACACATAATAATATTATATGTTTCATCTACTTTCAACAACTTGAGACAAATGATTACTTTAAGTACACCACATGTAAAGTAATATGTGATCTAGATATTAAACAATATTCCATAAGGTTTTCCTTTGTATTCTCCAAAGTCAACATACATTAATATGTTTCAGGAACAGGTATCAGCATCTGGTAGAAAGAAGCATGAAGTGTTGTCATCTTTATTGTCTTTTGACTTTCCTGACCTTTCTCTCTGGAAGTAAGTACAAACAACGTGTTGCCATATCCACATAGTTATCAGAAAAAGGGCGTCCTTTTTGTAAAGCTGTGATTCTTCACTGTTAAACATATTCTTTTTACTTATTATTCTCCTGATATTAGAGAAGTTAGTCGCTGGTATTACGTAGAAGAAATGGGATCGAATATCGTACACGAACATGTAGATACGTGTTGGTTTGGGGAACATATTCATTCATGTTCATCTTTCGAAACTTAAATCAAATCTGGTACAATGTTACATATTTTTCAACGCATATTTGGAGTGTATGAATCATGATCATTGACATTTTGTCAAATTGTCGACTTCTGCATCAGTGATTCACATGAATGTTGTTTTCTTTTTCAGTCACAGGGGCAAGACTGACCACATCACCAATACAAATGACTATTGGGGGAAGTAGCCCAACATCTCAGCTGACACTAAGCTGTAGTCCAGATGCACCTGGGATAACACAAGTGTTAAGCATAGAGATTGGCAAGAAATCTTCTACTGGTTCTAATCAGCCTATAATACGAATGAACAACACAGATTCGTCAGTACAAGTAGAGGACCCAGGTCTACAACAGCGGATGACAGCCTCAGGTTCTATTACTGGAGCAACAGGCAGCATACAGTTCATCCTGACAGGTCTGAGATGTACTGATGCTGCTTCTACATACTATTGCTCCACCCTATACATGGCGGGGGGAGCTGGAAGTGATGAGGCAACCACCAACATCAAAGCTAGAAGTACTTATGTTTATAGTTACTATCAATGTAATGTGTTAGATGTCCTTACAATGTTTTTGAGTAATTCAGAAAACACATCTGACGTCAACATGCATCAGTGTTTCGAAGTATTGACATCCTTTGTCGTAAACTGCTCACCCATGAACATCAGTGATTCTATTATATCTTACAGCTTACCCAGAGCAGATAGAGATGTTCCCCAGTCCCGACAGGGTCACTTATGACGAGGGTCAGCTGATTTCATTCAGATGTACAGGCAGGATCGGAAACCAGTTTAATGTGAACAATCTCCAGAACCTGTGGACATGGGAGTGGCGATCTATAGACAACGAGTTCACCTCCTGGACACGATATCCAAACGACCAAAACATCACCTATCAGCCTCCTACTCCCGTGTCTGGGTCAGGGGGTTGTCAGTATGACGCGGCGTCAACACTGCTTCATACAGTCTCGAATCAAGACAATGGGAGAGAGTTCAGGTGTTCTGTCATTAATGAAGACTACAGTGACAACAAGACAGTTTTTGTTATTGGTAAGATTTTATTAAATATTTGATCCCAAAGACCAATTTGAATCTATAAACGTCTATACATATCAACAATCGGAAATATTATTAAACGTAACCATTTAATACTTAACAGCATTAATCGACTCTTATTCGTTTGACAGTGACGAATGACAGTCCAACAAGCCCATGAAGAACATTGTGAAATCCGCTATGTATTATTTAAACTTTGCAACCGCGTCTATAGTTGTAAAATTCAGCATGTATTTGTAATAAGTCATATGTATACTACAGTCAAGTCCCGTTAATCCGACATGGTTGGTTGAATATGATTATGTCGGGATAACGGGTATGTTGGATAAACGAAATTAAGCAGTATAAACGTTCGTGATCGAATATCGGACAACTACAAGTCAGATAACGATACCAACACGTTGCAATGAAAAATGAAATATTCATATTGTTATGTTCCATTGTTTGCGGAATATGTTTTCTAATCACGCAACCTCTAAAGCTTAACACAACGGGCTGTATGACTGATTTATATAATATATTCTACACATACTTTACAGCATTGACTGTTATTCGTTTAAATCGCACTGACAGTTGAAATATAGAAGCAAGTCCATGAATAACATTGTGAAATCCGTCTTGTATTTTATAAACTTAATAGCGTCTATAGGTGTAATATTCAGCATGAATTTTTGAAGCATATGTGCTACCACATACGGTGTAAATGAAGCAACGCATTCTTTGAAGGTTTTTTAAGCGTACACCTACGTACGTTATCAGGAATAGGATACGTGCAAAACAACCATAAATATTACTTATATTTCGTAGGACAAACAGCCACTGCAACCACCACCAATCGACCTTGTGAGTATTTCATCATTCTCATGTACCCTCAAATAAATAAACATTGACACAGCTATCATGTTGGGACCACTATCCCACATGTATTTCTAAGGATAAAACTGAGACCAAGATGGACACCTATTTCATTTCAGATGCAAGACCCTCCCCGCCAACTGACTTCTACTGCACAGAGCACACGGCCTCCAGTGTTAAGATGCAGTGGACCTTCACTGACACACGTAGTCAGGGATATGTGTTTATTCTTTCCTATTGGCAGAAAGACTCAACTGTATGGAGTGTTACTAACGTAACGGCAGACACAGGCATGCCTCAGACGCGATGGACACTCAGTGTCCCACGGCTCCAGTCAGACACGCTATACTACTTCCGGTTGCTGGTGGATGGAGTAGCGGGTCAGAGCGAAGCTGTGACTTCCACTTGTTTCACGGAAATCGATGGTAAAATATTTCTGGCTTAATCTTCTCACGATACAAACACTAGTTCCCCCATTTACATTGATTCTAATCTTTTCAACTGAAATGATTTGTTTGTTTGTTGTTTAACACCGCACTCAGCAATAATCCAGCTACATGACGGCGGTCTGTAAATAATGCTGATGTTGATAATGACAATGATGCCTAATGCATGTGACATTTATGATGGTAATTCGCCAGTTACTGTTCAGTTGAACAAAGGAGAATAATAAGAAGAATAAGATGTAGATGATGACTGATATAGTTTTATAAAACATGTTTCAGTTTCTGCGGCCTGTGAAGGAGTGATAGTGGGATAGAACGTGGGAATCAGCGTCATCGATCGTGGCTTTACTGCTGTCCATCATTTCATGTCTTCATGTAACACAATTATTTTTAATAGTAACTGTATAAAAGAAGAATATGTAAACTAGTTTTATATAACAGACTAGTCATATCTCATTTGTGAGCGATTTACGTATAGATTCAAAATTTAACTAGAACATTTCCCTTGACGGAAAGCTTGTCAATAAATGTTTGTAACAAATATATGTTGATAGTAACAACATAAAAGATAACTGTGTTAGCTATGTTTAATACGAGATCCATATGAACAGTATGTTGATGACAGAATAGTAACATCTTATTTGTTAGGCCTAGCAATTTGCTAAGTGATGACAGACTGAGAACTGTTTGTTTCTTCCGCTTGTGCGACTATCGATGTACAGATTCAAAACAACAAAAATCCCTTATTAATTTTGTCAATCTATCAATTTGTTTAAAAGCGTCTGGCTAGGTATATGTAACTTCGGTTTTTCCCTACTCGCTTGCACCATCTGAGAAGGTTTAAGATGTAATAAATTCAGCTGGTGTTACACTAGTAAATTCACTTATGTATCTAAATATAAAAAGATTGTGTGGGAAGATTTGTACATGAATGAATTTGCCCAATGAATAAATTTATGTACGTCTTGCTTTGATTTGTTTTCCATGACATTTCCTATCTTTTTATCAATAGGTGATCAGCACTTATAATTTCATCTAAAATGTCATCAGTAAATAATTGAATCTTTGGACACTGACATATGTGTATATTTTTACAAATAGACTAGCTCCTCAACGTTTTTACATAGACGTTAATTCTCGATAACACCATATTGCATTATCTTCACTTGGATGGATTCGTGTTGTATCCAGTCAAATGCCTTTGAAATGTCACAAGTAGCACATAAAATATTTTTATTTAGCTTATAACCGTTTTTATTTGTGTGTGACGAAGTGTCACACAATACACATCTATTTTTGTAATTGTGTAACCAGTACTGGATCTGATTAAAGATCTCTCTCTAAATTATTATTCAGTTTATGTAACTTCAGTTTATTATATCTTCTTCGCATTTGCAAAATCGACTTTACAAAGGCGTGAAGTCTCGTGAGAGATGATACAGATGATACCCCCAAATGCAGGTTATGTCACGATTCACTGTCTTGTCTCACACTCATGTCAACTTACAGTTGCTGATGTACAAGTTTGGCACATCATGATCGGAGTATAGCCACAAACTAACAATGTTGTAGCATTGTATCATGTGTTTTGTGCATACGTCTATAGGGAAAATAAACTCCAACGACAATAACAACGTACCAATAGCTTTATAAAACAGATATCATGTATACATATATTAGTATATGTACATCTTACATGCTGTAAACAGAAAAATGAATGCATTGCACAAGAAAGACTACTTCAGTGATATTGAATAACAATGACTGTCATTGTTTTTACCATCTTTGCAATAATCGTTGCACGGTAATTTTTTTGTGTTTACATACTATTGTATCAGAATCCTTTCTCAAATGATAAAGAAATCATTTGCATCATGCTGGCCCAAGATTGTTTGTCTTTTAATCAGAGATTTACTGAGTTTGAGGGGGTCATTCTTGCTCATACAGTTCCATGACAATATTTATTAAATTTACTACGTCTTAAAAGAATCTTTTGTCAGATGCTTAACAGTGAAAAAAAATTCAAGCATAAGGCAACTGATTTCATCGATCATGTTTTTGTTAAGTTATAACACCAGTTAAATGCAATTTCACAATTTCACTCCATTTCCTAGAATTTGTATAATGCTTTACTGGCACATAAACACCTTGGTTAACGCGTTGAAGACAACATAGATTACATACGAAATCGCTCCATATCTACATGGTCACAATGGGAAGAAATGCTAACTTAAACTGTAGAGGAGTTTTTGTGTGATACTTTAGGAAACGTTGCGCCATGCTCTTTCATAAGAATAGAATGTACAATTAGTGCTGTAATAATTCTCTGTCACATTACGCTTATAATGTAGACTGGATCAATTACCAGTTACCGTAACAACGTACCGATGTGTTTTTTCAGTTGATTTGCTTGAGGCCATACAATTAGTGTAACAAGAGTTTTTGGTAACTGTCACGTGATACTTATAAGGTAGACAGGATCAATCACCCAGTACCTACGATCGTGGGTTTGAATCTCAGATGAGATTACATTGGCCCTGTTAAGTCAGTCCATGATTAAAGACCTTTATCACTTCGGGCTTTCCCCCCACATCAAAATGACACGCCCTGATGTAACTAAATTATGTTCAAAGCGGCGTTTAAACACCCTAACCCACTCACTACATCCGTAAGACCGCCTCCGTGGTCTAGCGGTAGAGCGTCCGCCCGGAGAGTGGAAGGTCCCGGGTTCGATCACCGGCCGCGTTATATCAAACGACGTTAATAGATGGGACTCGGAGTCTGCATACGGGTCTGAGTGGCGTATTCATGTTAAATTGCCGCTTGTTATTTCAATGGGCTAGCACTATAAAGTGAGTGAGTGAGTGAGTGAGTGAGTATGGTATTACGCCGCTTTTAGCAATATTCCAGCAATATCACGGCGGGGGACACCAGAAATGGGCTTCACACATTGTACCCATGTCGGGATTCGAACCCGGGTCTTCGGCGTGACGAGCGAACGCTTTAACCACTAGGCTACCCGACCGCCTCGCTAGCACAATATAGACGACATTAGTCAGGACTAGTACAAGCAGCCACACACACGTTATGCACGTCGCTATATAAGTGCAATAATCTTGAACGTGACGTTGAACCCCATTTCACCTCACCTCACCTCACTACATCCATGGTGTACCCGTGATCGGATCGACTGGGCACGTTTCATTTGTTCATCATCAATGTGATCGACACACACACATAGGCACACAGACGCATACACGCAGACACGTTCAAAGACACACAGAGACACATACACACACATAGGCACACATACACACACATAGGCACACAGACACACAGAGATACACTCACAGTCAGACACAGACGCATACACACAGACACGCACACACTGAGGCACACAAACAAAGACACACAGAGACACAAACAGACACATACACGCACACATACACACACGCGCACACATATCACATATGACCTGCTCATTAACTAACGTTATATGCTTAAATACACGAAACTCTTATTGCCAAGAGTTATCTATTTAGGTCATGCGATATTTACTTCACTACAGTGTTCGAAATTGACACTGAGATACGAACCTCGAGTGGTTAACGGTTAACAGTTAAAGGCATCTGTTACATGACCTATCTGTCACTCCATTTGAGTATCTGCAAGTTCAAATCATAAGATTGTCATTTAAAACACGTTGTACCGATCAATATCTGTCCATATTCTATCTTATAAGAGGTATAAAAATTATGCTCTTGTCGAGTACAGGCATAGCATAGTGAAAGCATTACTTTTCGTTTTAAAGTTATATAAGCACTGTTGACATAGAATCAGTAGGGACATGAGGATCATTCATTGAACATGCGGACAATTTTTAAGACGCTGAAACATGGACACAAGTCATTCCCTCGATTACAAGTGCATACTTGAAGATCCGGGTTAGAGCAGGTCTTCAGCAACCCATGGTTGCCGAAAAAAGCGACTATGCTTGTCGTGGGAGGCGACTAACGGGATCGGGTGGTCTGGCTCGCTGACTTGGTTGATGCATGTCATCGTATCACAGATGCGTAGATCGATGCTCATTTTATCAATCAATGGATTGTCTGGTCAAGAATCGATTATTTACAGACAGATAGAATATTTGAGTGCGGCGTTAAACAACAAACCAACAAATGCAATAACGCGCGAATGGTATATCTACGTGTATAAACTTTCACGGGTTGTGTTGATGACTCTACATAGGTTAGTTCACGAGGACCTGGTGTCTAAGTGTTGAAATGGTCAAATACCTTGCTCTCTTTGGACACGGGTAATTAAATGCATCTACCGGGACAATTGTACATTACATATTGGGACAAGTCGAACACATATACCAATCACCTACTCATAAAAATCCCATGTTGATGGAAGCATTATGAGTAAACGTAGCCCTGATAAAAAAAAAGAGCAATTTCCTCTCTATGTGTTCGTTTCTTTTAACGAAAAGCTACAAAATCTCACGTACTTACAATGCATAAAGAATGAACCGAACTGCCTAAAACACATGTGTCATGTTCATTTAAGGATAAACTACATTAGTAAGTATACCCTTTTGATCTTAATTTCATAAAGTGTCTTTAATGTCACCGTGTTCTATCATCAAGGGATGTGATAGGGAGAAAGGACAAAGGAGATAAGGACTGGTCAAAGAAGCCATTCTTTCATCATGAAATTCGTCTTTGTCGGTCATTCTTTTCCTGCCAAAGAAGACACATTTTAATGGTAAAAACTTCTTTATTTACTTAAAAGGCGACGGTTCTGAATAGATTATTATACCGTTTTCAAACAAGGTTGAATAACGAACATGGTACCATCAACAAGTGCTACATGGGGGAAGATTAACATGAGTAGGTTCAATAATGTCATTAAGAGGATGATACTGTAACAACATGATGGACAGAGAACACATGATGAGGTAGCCAGTTCAATAGGACTAAGTATACATAAGTCAGGTGATGCTGAATGAGTTCATAGTAGTTGGATGGGATGAAGGCACTCGAGGCTGATGCAGCACTCACAACACATCAACTTCACCGTTAACAAAACGACCCAGCATTTACACAATGAAAAGCTTCAAGCGTTTCTGTTTTAATACACTACACTACACGGCAGGTTGTGAAGAGTTGTCGGCCTTGATGTAAGTGAGGTGAGGTGAAATTGGGTTTAACGTCGCGTCCAAGATTATTGCACTTATATAGCGACGTGCATGCACGTGTATGTGTGTGTGTGTGGCTGCTTGTACTAGTCCGGACTGATGCCGATTTATAGTGCTAGCTCACTGAGATACCATGCCGCAGTTTAACATGAATACCCCTCTCAGACACAGTATACTGACTCCGAGCCGACCAGTCCTTGTTTTAGCCCCTTAATGCCGAGCGCCAGACAGGGTAACAACAAGTACAATCTTTTAACGTCTTTTTGTATGACGCGGCCCGGGATCGAACCCTGGACCTTGATGTAAGTATTATATAAGGTATTTACACAGCATTTCTCAAGCACTTACATATACTGCCAAGAAAGCTTGAGTGTTAGGTGCCTAGTGTACATTTTTTAGAAATTGGGATTAAAATCATTTGCGTTGCATAAGAAATTGAGCGAAAATCGAACATCGATTAAGGTAAAGACTGTAATGTGCCCTTAAATTACACTTCTGTAACTTTATTATAGATTTAATAAACATACATAGATGAATTATCCATACAACACGGTGAGGTCACAGGACCACGGAAAACAACACTTAGGAAGTGATTGTAGTTAACATAAACTTATTTCTAACTAACATAGCATATACAATCAATACACATGAACAAAATTCGTAAAACATCAATGTGAACTAAAGAAATTAGAGAGACACATTTGTGTAAACTTGGATTTACATAAAACTGTCCTTTTAAGTGTATTGTTCTCAGATTATCATATTTA